CCTGGCTGGCCTGCCTTCTTCTCCCCACCTTTCAGAGTCTTCTGTTTATTTTATGTATAATGTCCAGGATTTTTAATTGTACTTAGTGGGAGGAGTAAGGAAAAATATTTCTGCTCCATCTTTTCAGACGTGGAAGCTGTACCTTCCTTTTAAACAACAGATCTTAGAGATGATTTCATATTAGTACATGAATTGCCTACTTAATTTTTTTTTTAAATTATTGCATTGTATTTCATTTTATAAGGAGCCCTGGTGGCACAACAGTTAAGCGCTTGCCGGCTAATGTAAAGGTTGGTGGTTTGAACTCACCCAGTGGCTCTGTGGGAAAAAGACCTGGTGAACTGCTCCCATAAAGATTACAGCCTAGAAAACCCTATGGGTTTGCTATGAGTCAAAATTGACTCAACAGCACCTAACAACATTTCATTTCATAAATGCATCATTTTTAAAAAATTGCTATGTAGTATTCCCTCATATAATAGGCCACATTTGTTTATCTGTTCGTCAGTAGAATGGATGGTTTCCAGCTTTGGCTATTAGGAATAGGACCACTACGTACATGCCTTTGGTGGATATATCATTCTATCCCTTCTTATATCTCTTAATCAGGATTGTTTCAATCTCACAAAATTGTTCGCTGAATTTATTTCTTACTTTGCCTACTTTCCTATGCCTACCTTTTCCTGAGATGGCAATCTCTTAAAATTCATTGATTTAGAAGGCGTTGCTTCAGGATCCAAATGGTTTTAGTTCATGAACATAGCTGTGACAAAATAAGAAGACATACTGGGTGTATGATTGTTGGAGGGCAAGTTAGATGGGGCATGTGACCCTTTATCTGCGTGGAAATCTGCTGGAATGCCCTGTTTGTCCAACTGAATATTTGACCCCTCTAAGACAGAGTCCCAAATCCAGTGCCCTCCAGCTCACATTGCCGGTCTTTGCAGCCCTCCCCTAGCATAACCAGCAGCACTGTCCCCACAGCCTCATCTATATGACCCTCTGGGTACCGCTAGTTGCCATGTTTGCAAAGGGAAAACCATTTGCTGCATTTTTTATAACCACTACAAACTGTATTATGCGTGTATATATTATGGTATACATGTGAATATCTTTATTAAAATAAACTTTTATGCCAGTTAATTACTGTTAATAGTGGGAATTATTTTTCTTTAGTTAATTTATATGATACAATTTGGGAACCTTTGCTAGTGACTAGTAAGTTTTTGCCCTCCACAGTAAGCTGTCATATGTGATATTTAGAGATATCTGAATGGTAACATCATAAAAGTATTAGTAAATAGCTTTCCTTTTAATATATCACTTGACTAAAATCATGGCAATTCAGTATAATTTTTAATTAAAATAATATTCCATTTAATCTTATTACAAGAAGTTGAAGATGCAGTTTAACGATGCTTTCTCCTCCTCCTCCAACCATGGAAAAAAGTTAACTAACAAGCATCATTTCTATATAATTAATTCAGTATGATTTCCTTTTTTTAAAAAAAAAAAAAAAGGCCTTCACCTTGTATTAAAAATATAAAAATTTCCCTATTTTTTTTTCCTACCCTCAGAAATGTACTGTGGGTGATACGGTTTTTGCCGATACACAGCTTTATCAGGTATCAGTCCTCAGTGTCATGCCTAGACTCCACGGATGTGTTGTTGAATTTTTCAGAGAAAAGCTTTCCAGACTGACTTTTCTACATTTGCTTGATCAGTAGTTGTGAATAGCCTATGAACATTACTGGGCTTAAAGCTGCTCCTTGGAAACCCTATGGGACAGTTCTACTGTGTCCTATAGGGTTGCTATGAATTGGAATCGACTCGACAGCAGTGGGTTTGGGCTTTTTTTTTTGTATCAAAACAAGTTTGCCAAATTTATTAGACCTGTATGCAAAAAGAAGTTTTGAGTGCTCTCCTCAAAAATATTGTATGTCTCTGGCTTTCTGTATCATTAATCTGTGTATAATTGTATTTTTCTTGTTTATATGTATGTGTTTGTATATACATTTGTGTTATTCTTAACATACCATGTTTTTGAAAACTGTTGTATCTTCTAACCAGTAAACAGGTTTTTTCTAAACTGTGTTCCATGAAATATATTAATCTGAGAGGTTAAGTGGAATAGCACAAAAAATGTGATTAGGTTTACCATCTCCCTGTTTGAGAGATTTGCAATATGCATTAGCATATTAAAGTTTCTGAGTGTCATACAGTAAAGGAATCTGTTTTTCTTTCTTTAGCACAGTATTTTCTAGAAATATTGGAGTGTGGAATGGCTCATAATACATAGGGGTATTCTGGTGATACCAATTTGGTAAATACTGCAAAAAATATGAATAAGGTTTTCTTTGTAGTGCTTTAAAACGTCAAGTAAAATTGACTACAAGTGATTAAATTTTGGGGAGATTAAAACGTTTGGCTGAATTGTATTTTCTTGTAGACATTACATTTTTAAGTACAACATTGATTTTTTTGACATATTATCTTTCTCAATACTTTTTATGGTCTTTAATAATTCGTATAGCTCTGTGAAAATGCCGCTTTAAAAAAAATTTAAAATAGGGTTTTTGTTATTGTTGTTATTGTCTTTGTATGATTATTTCTCCGCTACAAGAATTAGCTTTTATCTTTAAAAAACATGTTACTGTTTCAGATAGCGTGACACAGGAAAGGAGGCCCCCCAAACTTGCCTTTATGTCAAGAGGTGTTGGGGACAAAGGTTCATCCAGTCATAATAAACCAAAGCCTACAGGTATGAATTAATAGAGTACAGTCCTTAGTTATTTATATGATAACTGATTTGCCGTAGGATTAAAAGAGGTTAATCGGTATTATTCCTTAATGTATATGTAGACTTTCTTCTTACAAACATTTTGAGCGCAGTCATGCATCACTTAACATCCACGGTATGTTCTGTGAAATAGGACGTTATGTGATCTGGACGTTGTGCAAACACCATATCCTATATAGGTAGTCCCCGGATTACGAACGTCCGACTTGTGTACAACCTGTAGTTACACACCAACCCCCATGAAGCCTTTGTTGTTGTTAGGTGCCGTCAGCCAAACACTGCCCGGTCGTTTGCCATCCTCACAGTTGTTGTTATGCTTGAGCCCATTGTTGCAGCCACTGTGTCAATCCATCTCTATTATATTAAAAATTTGAGGTACATACAATGGTCCATAATAACAAACAGGTGCTACTTTGTGACATGTATCAAAACATTATTATTGTTATTGTAGTATTATATGAAAGATGTTTTAGTGTCTCTCGAAGTGTTTCTTCAATGTTTTTTATGCATAGAAAGGTATACTATACTCCGTTGGGGATTTCTGAACTCTGTTATAACCTTACAGGACCATGGACGTATAGGCGGTTGGACATTGCCCAAACAGACATTACGCAATGCATGATTGTTGTTGTTGTTCTTGTTGTCAGGTGCCGTTGAGTCGATTCTGACTCATTCAACTTAGATTTTATATAGATGCTATTGCTTAAGCCAAGAGCTCCCAGCCTTTTTTAACTAATGGATAGTTCCTTTGAGGACCTGTGTCCTTTGCTGGCCCATAATCAACTATTTTCTGGAACCCCCTACTTGTAGCATTGTACATTATAGTTTAGAGTTACAACTGTATAAAATAACCATATGTGGAAAATATTATGTAGGATAAAGTATGCTAGAGATTAATCATGTGGCTTTTGCTAACTGGAAGTAGCACAAATTAAATTCTAAACTGCTAAGCAAAAATTTTTGTTTCTCTTCCAGAAACTCCCCCACAATGCATGTGGAGTTCTGAGCCTTTTTTTCTTTTTCTTCTTTTTTTGCTGGCTTTCACATTCATTATAGATTTATAGGGTGGTAGTTATACAAGCCAAACAGCTCATTTAAAAAACTGTAAGAATGGACCTTCTTACAACTCAGGTGGGGTGTTAGGAGAATATTTTTTCCTCAGTTATCTGGTGAACGAAACTCTTTCAGCTCGCTTAGAAAGAAATTGTACTTTAAAAAATCTTTTATGTGACACTGAACCCTGGGAGACTTAGACTCAAGCAGGATATATAGGCAATAGCATTTTTAATTTGATCCTCTAGGTCTATATCGTATAGTTCAAACTTGCCACTTGCACTTAAGTATGAACAGCCTAAAGATTTTCTTAAAACATGTTGTGCTAGTTGTGTTTTAGCAGATCTTAGTTATATGTATGCAGTATAGAGCTACCTGCTTTAAATTTAAAAAAAAAAAATCAGATTAAAAAAAAATAATAAAGTTCTGTAGACTCGATAGTGCTCAACTGTGGCATGTTCTCTTAATTGGTAATGAAGCAGGGTCATGTTCTGAAATGTCTGTGACATGGACCTATAGTGTCTCTTTCTTACTTTTAATAAATGAAGTATATAAAAGCACTGAGTCAGAATTGACAGCAATGGCTTTGGTTTTGGTTTCAGTTTTTTTAGTAAGAAATAATAGTGCTTCACTTTTTCAAAGACTTGAAGGAATTAAGCAACTAATTTGATGATCAATGATTCCAAAATGCTTAAATTTTAAATATTTTTAAACTTAATTTGTGCATTAATTTGTATACAACATTTGAAGATAACCTTCTTCTGAAAGGAGCTGTTTTAAAATAATAGGTTAAATTTGTCAACCAACAGGTTCATCAAATGAAATTGAGGAATTTTGACATTTGGAAATAAGCCACAGTATATGAAACAATTTCTAAAAGCAGTTCATTTGGAAAAAAAAAAAAAATGACTACACTTTAACTTACTGCAGTCCACCTCCTATGTTGACTCTTGGGCTGAAGAATCTTTTTGACATTACCAAAATGATTACCACATTTTTAAAAGCTGAAAAAAAAAATTGGGTTTGTGTATATATTGGTTGTATAAACAGTTGTTGACACTATATGCATATTAATTTTTCTTATTAAAAAAAAACCTTTCATACCATATTAATTTTATTTTTAAAAGGAACTTTTCTTGTTCCATAGGCTCTACCTCAGACCCTGGAAATAGAAACAGATCTGAATTATTTTATACCTTAAATGGATCTTCTGTTGATTCACAGCCACAATCCAAATCAAAAAATACATGGTACATTGATGAAGGTAATCTATAATTTTAGTGTTATTTATAATGATCTTCTCTTTTTAACTCACCAGAGAATAATGGCTTTTTCATCAATAGTTGTAGTTTTCAGAAGCTGAATAAGTAGACTGTTCTTTATTGATACAGGTGGGTCCCAGCTTATGACGGGGTTTTGTTCCAATGACTCTGTCGTAAATTGGTTCTGACATAAGTTGATTACCTCATTTTGTTTTTTTTCGTTTTCATTATTATTGCCTTTTATTTTCAGTATCTTTATAAATTCAATCTTTATTTGTCTTCGGCGGTTGGAAACATTACATATAAGCTTACAGATATATTTTAATACATATATACATTATTACTAATGATAAGATGTAGGAAAAAAACAAAAATGGATGGTCATAAGTACGGTTGGTCGTAACTCGAATATGTCGTAAGTTGGGGTCTACCTGTATTGCTGAACTAAAATATCATACGCAATTTTAACTGCATTAATGTTAAGATTAATAAAAACATTTAAAAAATATATTAGCAGCTTGTTCTCTTCCCTTAACTGATCTGTTTATGGTAGAAGATCTTTAGAATCAATAGAATCATTTAAAGACTTTCCTTTCTGGGTCTTCCTTAACCTCTTTAAAGCACTTTTTAAAAGTCTGTCTTCTCTTGGTTTGGGGGTATTATTTTTTTCTGGTTTATTCTTTTCTTTGTTCATCCATTTAACAAATATTTATTGAGTGCTTACTGTGTGCCAGGCATTCTTCTAAGCACCAGTGGTGAGAAAAAAACAGACATTGTCCTTGCTCTTTTTGAGTTGATGATCAAGTTGTTCAGGCAGAAATTAATCAAGCAATCACAGAAGCAAATATAAAATTGCAGTTGGGATGAGTGCAATGAAGGGAAGGCACCTGATCTATGAGAGCATATTAAAGGGTGATTTTACTTAGGGGGCTCAGAGAGGTTTCTTGGAGGAAGTGCCATGAGCTTGGATTTACCAGAGGAGGGGGAGATAAAGTGAAAGGGGACAGAAGAGCAGTTAGGCAGAGGGAGTAACGTGTGTAAAGGCCTCATGGAAAAATGAAGCCTGGTGTTTGCCAAGGACGAAAAAGAGGCCAGAGGAGCTATAACAGAAAGAGAGGCTTCGTGAGATGGGACTGGAAAGGCAAACAGGGCCAGGCTGTGTGGAGCATGGTGTGCTCTATTAAAAGGATATGGTAGCCACTGAAGAGTTTTCAGCAAGGGGGGACATGGCCAGAGTTGCCTTTGGAAACCATCATTCTGGCTGCAGAGTGGACAACGGATTAGATCAGCAGGGACCGTGGGAATGCAGGTACACCATTGAAGGTTGTTGCTGGGCTCAGTGATAGCGGGGACTAGACTTGGAGGGGATGCAGTGGAGAGAAGTGGAAAGATAGATGTTTAAGAAGTAAATTGACAAGACTCACAGATTGATTGAAAGTAAGAGTTAAGGAAGAAGGAGATGGCAAGGGTGACTCCTCGTTTCTGCCTTGCATCCTTAGATGGTGGTGGAGGAAGATTATTCATTTTAATTTTGAAAATGTTGAGTTGGAGAGGCCTTTTAAACTTCTTAGAGGTGATTTGTCATGTGGGTGGTTGGATGTACAGATATGTAGCTTAGGAGAGAAGCAAGAGCTGGAAAAATAAATTTGTAGGTCATCTGCCTATATGTGATGATTAAAGTCATGCGAACAGGATCACGTCAGGAGAGAGTATGTGAGCTTAGGAAGTGTCATAGTCTAAGACTGAGTCTCGAGGAACTTAAAGGCCGGGGTGAGAGGAGAGTAAAGTCTTCAGAGGAGACAGAGAAAAGGTGACGAGAGGGATGTGGGAAAAACTAGGAGACTGTTGAGTCAAGGAGACCAAGGAGAGAGGGGACAGCAGTATTGAATGCTTCTGACAGGACAAGTAAGATGAAGACCACTCAGTGCCCGTTGATTCAGCCACCTGGAAGTCCGTTTTGGTGGAGGAATTTGGTCAGAGGCCAGATTGGAGTGCTCTGAAGGTATGTAGAGTGAGGAAATGGAGACATGAGTTCAGCTTCTATCTTAGCTTCATCCTGGACTTCCTCCCTGTAAGCTATCGTATGAATTCATTTCAATTTTAGGCTTAAACACATGCACAACTTTATTAGTCACTTTAAGGAAACAGCTTTTGATTTTGGTTCTCTTTACTGTATGTTTGTTTTCTCTTTAATTGTTTTAGATTATTTTGTTTCTTCTTTCCTCTTGACTACTATTTGGGAAGATATTTTCTTCTTCTAACTTCCTAAGCTGGATGCTTAGTTCATTGATACTTCACATTTATTTTTTTAAAAAATAAACTATTAAGTCTGTGCATTTTCTTTAAGAGTATTACTTTAGCTATGTTCCACCAATTTTGTTTCTCTGTCTCTTCCTTTCTCTCCTTCTCCCCCTTCCTCCCTCTCTTCATTGTTCCCTTTCTTTCCTTTTCTCTTGATCTTTTTTATTTTAAAAATTTATGTTAACATTTCTTCTTTGATCCATTAGTTATTTAGAAGTATGTTTCTTAAATTTTTGATATCTTTTTTGTACTGATTTCTAACTTAATTGTATTGCAGATGAAGAATATAATCTATTTGATACCAGTTATAGATATTTTTTGGCTCGAATGATCGGGTGCCATTTACTGAGGTAGAAAAATTTGGAGGTGGGAGAACAATCAAGAGCACTGTTCTGGAGTTGTTAAGTTTGAGATGCTTATGAGAATCCCAGTAGAGATGTCAGGGGGCCAGTTGGAATAGACCTATGCGTTAGTTTTTAGAGAAGCAGTACATGTTTCATGTTCTTGAATTTTCCTAATTAAGAATGTTTTTTTTAATAGTTGCTGAAGACCCTGCAAAATCACTTACAGAGCTATCTCCAGAGTTTGGACATTCTTCACCACCACTGCAGCCTCCTCCCATGAACTCGTTATCTAATGAGAACAGATTTCACTCTTTACCGTTTAGTCTGACAAAGATGCCCAATACCAATGGAAGTATGGGCCATAGTCCTCTTTCTCTGTCAGTTCAGTCTGTGATGGGAGAGCTAAACAATACGCCTGTCCAGGAAAGCCCACCCGTGGCCACATCCTCTGGTAACTCTCATGGTCTGGAAGTAGGCTCCCTGGCTGAAGTTAAAGAGAACCCTCCTTTCTATGGGGTAATCCGCTGGATCGGTCAACCACCAGGACTCAATGAAGTACTAGCTGGATTAGAACTGGTAATTTAACTTGACCTAAATGTATTTCCTTTATGTCTGGGGTTTTATGCAGATTCTTTCCTATTATATGTTATTTGGGTAAATGTTATATTTGTCAAAAAAAGCCATCACTAGAGAAATAATTTTATTACTACGTTGACTGACTTCCCTTTGCCTCCCATTAAGCATCTGACCCATTTGTTCCTAATGTTGATCTAGGTTTACGGAATGAAAATTGATGTTTAAGCTAATATATTTAGGCGTATTTAGTTAAAGAGAATACAGTAAGGAAAGCAAATCTGTTATATCAGCTTTTCTTTTTTTTCCTTCTGTCTCTATTCCCTAATCAGTTCTAATATTTATATCACTGGCTTTAAGATTCATCTCCATTTTTAGAGATCTTTGTAGAAGGAAAGATTTTCCCTTTGGATATTAGGAGAGCATACTGTTTGATATTTCGTAGCCAGGAGAGGAGAACTTGAGTGCATTTAGCTTTTATTTAAGTATATTTCTTGTTCTTTTTCTTGTGTTTGTTTCCATGCTTGTCAATACTGTTTTTTCTTTTTGGGTTGTTAAAATAAATAGCTTCCTCCTTCCTTCCTTTGTCTCACCTCCAGTTTTAATACTTCTGGAAATGGTTCAGGAAAGACGGTTAGAGAATTTTTAAGCATATATTCTGAAAGGAAATATGTTAAAGACTTCATGTTGGATTAAAGAATTAATTTCTTAAATGATTAGTCAATTCCTTTTTCCTAATGGAGTTCTCAGTCCAGACCTGGAAGAGGGAATTCTCAGAAAGGGTAAACTAGAAACAGATCTTAGAAACCTCCGATCTTTCTGTGTTATCTTTGCAAGATGCAGAATCACCCAAATAGAAGCATTTCTTTTTCAGGAAGATGAATGCGCCGGCTGCACAGACGGAACCTTTCGGGGCACTCGGTATTTCACCTGTGCCCTGAAGAAGGCACTGTTTGTGAAACTCAAGAGCTGCAGGCCTGATTCGAGATTTGCATCTCTACAGCCAGTCTCCAATCAGATCGAACGCTGTAACTCTTTAGGTATCTGGATACCTTTCCATTATTTACCAATCCGCAATGCCCGTAGTTCTAGCTCGTCTCATGTTGCAGTAGGTGACAGTGACAGCATTTGAATGTGTTTCTTGCCAATGTTCATCAAGCTTTGAAACCAGTAAAAATCTTATTGGGGTATAGGAAAGTTACGGTGGTTTTTATTGGTCATTATTGTCCTACCAGGGGAAATTTTTAAGAAGTAATAGGCGGGAAAAGCATATGGGACTTAAAAAGTGAAAAATACTGGGATTTAGTTTTCTTTTACTGTTGATTGTTGAGGTTGCTAGCTGCCATGGAGTCATTCATTTTCAACAATACAGGAAGTGGAGACTGAAACGTGGCCCCCACTGATCTACCTCTTTTTAATGAATCGTTTATGTACGTTAGTAAACGTATTCTTGTCAGGAAATCAGCATTATTATGGGAAGTAGTTTTGAATCAATTGATGAAGGAAACATCACCTGTAATAGGTGGCAGTTTCTTGATTCTATTTTCCAGTTTTGGGTAATAGTGATGAAGCATCTTGAGGGTTAAGGAGGTGTAACTAGAAAGCCAGGTTTACGAAAAAGATTTTTCATTACACTGGAAGTAGTACTTTGAAATTATTTTCCTTTTCTTTTCAAACAGCCTTTGGAGGCTACTTAAGTGAAGTAGTAGAAGAAAATACTCCACCAAAAATGGAAAAAGAAGGTTTAGAGATAATGATTGGAAAGAAGAAAGGGATCCAGGGTCATTACAATTCTTGTTACTTAGATTCAACCTTGTTCTGGTAAGTTTCAAACGGATGCAGTAGGAGGTACGGGCAGTGTCGTGGGGGCGGGGGCATATATGTGTGTGAGTGTGTATGTGCAGGTACATACGTATGTGAAGGAAACGGCCAACTGCCTCTGGTTGAGAAGCTGGATGGTGGAGGTCAGGGAAGAAAGGGAGATTTGCTTTTCATTATATACTCTTTGGAAGCTATTGAATGTTGTTTCATGTGTCTATATCCAAAAAATTAATATAAAAAGTAGTGCAGGGAATGCTGAGTAAGAGGTGAATGACAGTGTTACGATGATAGTGTTACTGAGGGGTTCTGGGAAATTCTATGACTGAAGAGAATAAAGATAGCAATTTCATGCACATATCAAATCAGGACTTGCGATAAGCTATTGGCTGGAATGGGCTGTGTTTGTTTTACTAGGTGGAGGCAATCGTAAGATAACTTTATGTTAAAGAATTGTTTTCAGTAGAACTACATATATGTTGTCCTCATATGCACAGTTTACTCCAAAGTGGAAGAGCCTGACATGACAAGAATCTTTAGACTCTGAAGATAGAACCAGTACACTGCCAGCTCAGTTGCATGTAACCTGCCAGTTCTGGGCAACCATGTCCTAAGATGTTAAAATGTTACAAGCAGAGGAAGAGTAGAAGGGCCAGGCCATTGTGGGGCAGAATACTTTCAGCCTTTCAGTGTGTTGGTGAAAGTAAGCCTCACAGCATTACTATAATATTCATCAGATTTCCTCACACAAATCTGTATTAGCCAAATTTTCTTTTTCTTAGATACCAGCGAGTTACTGCTGTTAGTCACTCGCAAGTGATTTTGGCATTTAAAGAAATTTGGATCCTTGCTAGGGGGCTTGGGGAGAAAGAAGTATCATCTCTAGAAGGGATGATACCTGGGCATGTGCTTGCTCTGGGAAGTCATTTCCACAGTTCCTCTGCCAGCTGCTTATTTGTAGTTTGACTCAGCTTCGTAGACCTTCTTTCAACTTTTGCAAACAAGTTTTCTTCCTTCGTGTACTCTATCCTTCCTTTCTTTCCCTAACATCCTTTCACACTGTCAGTCTGTAGTTTGCCTTCCGGATATTAGCATTCTCCTTGACCCAGAAGGGTCTCTAGGTCCTGATGCTTGAACCATGGAGCTCTTAACAGAGGTCTTGATACTGTGTTAAGGAACCACACTAATTTTTGTATTATTTGTTCACCAGACTTCATTTCTCTTCTCTTTTTTAGAACCTGTTTCTCAAAAAATAGTATGTTTGCAGCATGAGAAAGAATCTTCTTTTTATTTTGCAGCTTATTTGCTTTTAGTTCTGTTCTGGACACTGTGTTACTTAGACCCAAAGAAAAGAATGACGTAGAATATTACAGTGAAACTCAAGGACTACTGAGGACAGAAATTGTTAATCCTTTGAGAATGTAAGTAGAAGATGCATAGTTATTTTGTTATTAGATGGTATCTTATTTTCTTTTTTTAATTTTTGGCACGGTGATTAACTTATATGCTGTTTCATGTAGTAAGAAATGGGCAAAAATTAGTTTTCTTGATGAAGTATTAATAATTTTTTTTTAACCTTTGGTCCTTCCTTTGCTTGTTTAATTTCTTAAATTTGGCCAACGTGTAGTACATAGTGTATGCCATAAAATGGTTTAAACAATTTGGTGTAGAGTATGCTACAATTTAGCAATTGCCGTTGGTTTAGAAAGCTGATATAGTACTTGGGATTCTTATTTTCTGAAATAGTTTATTCCAAATCTATCCCTAACAGTAATCACGCTTATTAGTCAAATAGGTATAGTTTGGCTTCTTAAACTTAATTTTATCTGAAAGAAAAGGAGCAAGGGAAATTTTTTTTTAGTTGTATTTTAGATGAAGAGTTACAGAACAAACTAGCTTCTCATTAAACAGTTAGTACACATACTGTTTTATGACATTGGTTAACAACCCTATGACATGTCAACACTCTCCCTTCTCAACTTTGGGTTCCCTATTACCAGCTTTCCTGTCCCCTCCTGCCTTCTAGTCCTTGCCGCTGGGCTGGTGTGCCCCTTTAGTCTCATTTGTTCTATGGGCCTGTCTAATCTTTGGCTAAAGGGTGAACCTCAGGAGTGACTTCATTACTGAGCTGTAAGGGTGTCCGGGAGCCCTACTCTCAGGGTTTCTCCAGTCTCTGTCAGGCTAGTAAGTCTGATGTTTTATTTGTGAGTTATAATTTTGTTCTACCTTTTTCTCTAGCTCTGTCCGGGACCCTCGATTGTGATCCCTGTCAGAACAAGAGCAAGGGGAAATTTTTATTTATAGAATAGCTAGTTGTTAACTTCTGTATTAGAAACAGGGCTCTGATGGCACAGTGGTTAAGAGCTTGAATCCACCAGCCACTCCTTCACAACGCTTTGGGGCAGTTCTCCTCTGTCCTGTAGGGTTGCTATGAGTTGGAATCTACTCGACGGCAGTGGAGTTTGGTTTTTACGGGTTTATATTAGAAACAAATGATATGTGTATTTTATTAACACATTTCTTGGTTAAAGGAATTTGTTTAGGCTTCTTTCCACCTCCCTAAAAAGGTAATTCTTTCTCTCTTCCTTTCCTAGTTTGGGAATTATAAGTATGTCTTTCTCTGGGCACAGAGATTGATTTGTAATGGTACAAGTCAAGTGACAGGAGACATCTCGTACTGACTTTTGCTAAGTAATGGTAGTAGTGTGTGTGATGATGTCCATTACATATTTAAACTGTGAAGAATCAAGACCATAGACCATAAAACAACATTGTTCATTCAGGAATATAGAGAGTAAGCTATGTAATATAAAACCCATATTAAGATAAATTTAAAATTTGTGACATACTTTTCTTATTTAACAAATAAAAATCAATCTGATACAAGATTTTACCCAGAAGCCCAGAATATTGAAATACAATGAGCATTCAGAATGACCTACTTTATAACGTGACTAGGAAAGTAGATTACAAGAGAACAAATTTCCCTGCTTATATCATTTGTTTTTCTTAAATTCTGAAATGATCAAAAACGACTGTAGTTTTCACCTTTTAATTATGAATCTTGATTTTAAGATCCAATTTTTTGTCATAGGCAACTTTTTAAGCATACTGTTTTTTTTCTCAAGTAATTGATACGAGGTCAGGATGAGTCAAATCTAGAACTCAGGCATGTTACTACTTCCTTCCAAAACACCATAAGTCATTTAATAAACATTCTTTGGATACCGTTATCCAGCCAGTTAAGAATCATGATTAACCACACTTTGCCACCCTGTCCACAGTAAGAAGCTGTCAGATGCCCTGTTGTGTTCAGGATTCCTGTGTCTTCAGGATACATATCTGTATTACAGCTGACCGGTTTTATTGGGTACTGAGATCTCTACTTTCTCCATTGTAAGATTCTGAGAGGCAGAGACTCTCTTTTTCATCTTATTTATTTTTGTATTCCCAGTAGCTATCAGGTTAGATTAATATTGATGTGGTAGATGCGCAATGTATGTTGATTATGAAGAATGAATGAATGAATAAACCAAACCCAAAAAACCAAACTCATGGCCATCAACTCGATTCCGACTCATAGCGACCGTATAGGACAGAGTAGAACTGCCTCATAGAGTTTCCAAGGAGCGGCTGGTGGATTCAAACTGACGATCTTTTGGTTAGCAGCCTGAGCTCTTAACCACATCACCACCAGGGTCCGAATGAATGAATAGTCATTATAAAAAATGGATATAAGATTAGCTGGTTCTGACTTGCCCTTATTAAGTTATGGTGGCCTCCAGGTCTCTTTTTTTGAAGCCATTTTAGAACCGGAATTTTGTCAAGGCTTGATGTTAACATCAGTCAGACATACTGAATGCTTCCTGTATGTTTACACATTATGAGAAAACATAATTGTAATGATTGATTTGATTGCAGATCTTGGATTTTCCATTCCCTTGGTGACTGTTTCAGCCTTCAGTATTAAAAGGACTTTCTGTCTCAGAATTGTATTTTCTGTTGTGTAAAGTAAATGCTTTAATTTCTTAGGCAAATAGTATTAAAAATAAGTCATCATAAACTATTCTGAAAAATAATTTTTTCATTTATTAGTATGTGACAGTTGTTTTTTAAGGTAAAATAGTTTCTGGGTTAATTCTAGTTCTAGATCTTCAATTTTCAAACTTCAAGAAGAAGCCTCTAGTGTGTTCTTGAAAATAATTGTCTAGCCTATTGATTTATGACATGTTGGAGTTGTGCAAGGAATGTGTGATTATCAAGATGTGTTCCCTAATTTAATATACGTCAGTATCAATATAATATTTTTTACTAACAGATATGGATATGTGTGTGCCACAAAAATTATGAAACTGAGGAAAATACTTGAAAAAGTTGAGGCTGCATCAGGATTTACCTCTGAAGAAAAAGGTGACTGTCTTAATGTATAGGATATGCATTAAGAATAAATTGAAAGCATATGCTAAATTATTGGCTGAAATACATGTGTGTAGTTTTCGAGTTTGATTTTACATTAGGAATTTCTTTCTACGTGATGTACAGTTTTCTCCCTTTTTTATAAATATTTCTCTCATAAAAGTGAATGCTGATGTGGCATAATAAAATTAAAAAAATTAGAAGCTGGATGGTTTTAGTATATTAAACGAATAAATAAAAACTCTTACTCTTGTATCCAGTAATGATATTCTGAGTTGTTGTTTTTCTTCAGCAGCAAAGGGTTGCTTTGAGCCATGCACATTTTCTCACTTAGTTTTGTTATAAAGAGAGTTACAACACGGCTGAATGGGACTAAGTTTATTGCCAGTGTTTTTGTCTTTTCCTAGATAATGAATTTACTCAGAGATTGAACTCTTGACTTTGAACTTGAGAGGAGTATATTGTAACTAACTGTAATGCCTAGAGGTGTGACAAATACTTAAATATCAGGAAAAAACAGGACTGTTCTTCTGGCTTTAGTCCATTTATCCCAACCTCCTACCCCCAAATAAATTAAAATTATTTCACTCTAAGTGAGTTATTATACCCTTTCAAATGCAATAAAGCTATAACAAAACTGAAACATGATACTTTATTATAACCTTTAATGAGCCTTTATATTTTTCCTTAGAAAAATTTGAGAAATATGCTATTAATTGAAATAATATTGATTATGAAATTAAAGTCAATATAGAAATGTTATTATAAATAAAAATAGAATAATTTTTAGGTTTTATCTGTGATACCTGATTTTTTTATATTTTCCTAGATCCTGAAGAATTCTTGAATATCCTGTTTCATCATATTTTAAGGGTGGAGCCATTGTTAAAAATAAGGTAAATGTTTAATTTTATTACAGAAGCATTGGAAGGATAGACAATCCTCATTTCCATTGCCATTATTCAATAGAAATTATTTCATTAGTGATTACATAATATAGTATTTGTTTAGTACCCTTAATATGCTTGCTGAGTATAATATAAATTAATTTTAATCATTTTTCTCTCCAGAGTACCACATTTAACTTGAAGAATGAATCCAATGTAAATTTGTGCTTTTAATTTTAATCCAGTGATAAATATCATTGCAAATCATTTTCTTATGAAACTTGATATAAATATTTTTATAATTTAAGTTAATGAAGCCTTTAAGACAATCTTACTCTAACCTAATCAAACACTGTGAGAACACTGTTTTTGTCTACCCATCACTCAAAGAATTGATTTAGCCTTAAATTAGCTCTCATGTTCTCAGTTTGCTAACTTGGTTTTTCCCCATCTTGAGTGAAAGCCTTGAATCTGATGCAGTAGAATTCTTACTGAGATGTTGTAGGGAATTAACAGATAGTTTGAATGTTCACAGCTTAAATGCTATACCTTTTTACATCTTAACCTGGGTTTCTCTGTTGAAATCTTCTTAATACACTATATATTTTTCTAAAACCTGATCATAGACAAATGTGTTTACTCATCTCAATGTCTCAAGTGATGTTGTTTGATGCCAGTGTTGAGTCAGTGGATGAGAAGAAGAAAGAGAGGGTGGACAATGTCACAAGTTTATATTGTTGTGGAAGTTCTAACTAATGAAACAAGACACAATACATAAGCATCAAGAATACATATTCATTCAAAGATAGTAATAGTTATATGCATACCTAGAAAATCCTAGAAAATTGTCCAGAAACTACTAGAATTAACAAAAAGAGTTTGTAGTTTGGCCATGTAAAAAAATAACCTTTTTTTTTTCCCAATCTGTAGCATTTCTGTATTCCTTCTAGCAAACATGAAAAAGGATCATTTCATACTTGATGAAGTATATTGTTGTTATGTGCTGTCCAGTCATTTTTGACTCATAGCGACCCCATGTGATGGAGTAGAATTGCCCCAAAGGGTTTCCTAGACTGCAGCCTTTATGGGAGCAGATCACTTGGTCTTTTCTCCAGCAGAGTGTCTGGTGGGTTTGAACCGCCAACCTTTCAGTTAGCAGCCGAGCACCTAACCACTGTGCAACCTGGCTCCTTAATAGCAGTATAAATACTAAGAAATCAATTTTATTGAGATAGATTTTTAAAAAGACTTGCATAGAGCTAAAAGGTGATTTGGTTAATGAGAAAGATTGTGTCTGGGAGGGGAAGCTTAAATATTTTAAAGATGTTAATTTTTCACAAAATAATTTGCACATAAGCAAGATCTTTACAGAATTTGAGTTTAGTAAAGTGATTTCAGAGTTCTCTACAAGATGAGGTAGATGAGAATATTAAAGTATTTTTCAAAAAAAGTTCTATTAGTTATAAAAGCAAAGCAGTCGACATTAAAACATTGTGATATTGGTACAAAATTCAAACTAAATAGAAAGCCCAGAAACAGTTAACTGTGGGTAATATTTCAGTGTCTTATACATCAGCCCTTAAACAGGGCAACTGGTTATAGCACATGCGGAAATAGTCAGCTTGCTTTATCCTGTATTAGCCTGGGGTTTTGAGCCAGTATTACCTAGAAGAATTAAAATTGGAAGACATTGCGAAGATGTTGCTTAATCAGCTTGATCAAACTTCTCAGGCCATTCAGATTCTGGAAACCCTCCAGACTAGAGTGTCATGATTCACTTATTGTTCTCACTTGTATCTAGTTATATGCGTGCCACCTGTCAGCTGGAAACACTACATGTCTTAAATAAAATACATCAGCTCTTTTTATTCAACACCTTTTTTGTGTGTCTGACTTTTCAGTGAGTCAAAAGAGATAGGGGAATTTTCAGATGGTATTACAGAGTACTTCTCAGAGAATGTGGTCTGAGTATTCTTATTACATGGGTATAGTGGATCTATGTGATATTCCATAGCAATAGCTAACCCGGAATCTGTAAAGAATTTTAGTGGCTACTCATGCTGGGAAGTGATTAGCCTTTCCTGGATCTCGGGGCTTTCGTTTTATGAAAGAAAACTTTGGACTGGAAGGTCTCTAAGGGTCTGTCCCATTCAGACATATGAGGATTTTTTTTTTTTCTGTTTCAAATATTAAATGCAGCTTGCTGCTTCCTAGATTTGGACAGTGAAGTTGAACTAATTCATTTTAGCTCTGGTTGGTATTGTTTATACAGTACTTCTGAGTTGCTCATTGTCTTGGTTTCCTGTTGCTGCTGAAACAGAAATACCACAAGTTGGTGGCTTCAGCAACAGAGGTTTTCTCTCACACTTCAGGAGGCTAGAAGTCTGATTCAGGGGGCTAGCTCCAGGGGAGGCTCTCTCTGCTCTGGGGGAAAATGCTTGTGTCTTTCATCTTCTCTTCCTTGGTTCCTTGGTTCCACGTGGAATCGGTCTTTCCCCATCTGTGCTTGCTGTCTTCTGTGCTTGAACTGCTCCTTTTATATCTCAAAAAAGTTTGGCTTAAGACACACTGATATGGCCTCATTAACATAGCAGCATACACACATGTGCGTATAGTTCCCAGATGATATTGTATCCACGTGTATCTTGTTGTTATAGTTAGGTGCTCTCAAGTTGGTTTCGACTCATGGTGACCCCATGCGACAGAGTAGAACTGCCCCATAGGATTTTCTAGGCTGTAATCTTTACCGGAAGCAGATCACCACGTATTTTCTCCTGCAGAGCCTTTGGGTGGGTTTGCACCGCTGACCTTTTGGTTAGCAGCCAAGTGCTTACCTGTTTGAGCTACCAGGGCTCCTTATCCACAGGTATAGGCGTTAGGATTTACAGCCCATATTTTGGGGGGACACAGTTGAATCCATAACACTGATGTTACTCCATTCTTTCTCCCCTGATCCCCAAAGGAACTTTTCAATATAAAAATTAAAGCAAGAAATCATTTTTAAGTTATGCATTCATACGTATAATTATTTAATCTCAGTTTTTTTTCCCTGTAGTTGTTCTGACTACCCAAAGTTGTACCATCAATTTCATAGTTTTTCTGTTCTCAAATATAGCTGGCGCAGCTTCCCATTTTGATTGCGGATTTAAAAACTAAATTTTACGTGATTTGTTCTGCATGTTTTTTAGATCGGCAGGTCAAAAAGTACAAGATTGTTACTTCTATCAAATTTTTATGGAAAAAAATGAGAAAGTTGGAGTTCCTACAATTCAGCAGTTGCTAGAATGGTCTTTTATCAATAGTAACCTGAAATTTGCAGAGGTTAGTGAAAAGTACTTATTGTCTTTTATCTGTAAATCCTTAAGATTCATAAGACTACTATAGATTGAATAACTGTTCATTTTAACCAGCTGAGAATAGTTTGAAACACAAACTGTTAAGAAAACACAAATAGAAAATAATAACGTGCACTGTTTCAACTTTGTTCTGGTGGAAAATACACAGAATTAAGATTTAACTTTTTAAATTTTTGATGCCAAAGAAAACACCAAGGTAATTTATACCTTAAAAACTTTTAGGTAGTTTAAAGCAAAAGGAAGATTTGTGTTTCTTAAAAACAATAACTACCATCATTTTTATTGCATAAATTTAGTATTTTAAATTATGCAAGCGTTTTTCCAAATATATGCAAAGAGAATGTTTCATTTTCCCCCTTAATAAGAGATAAAATGTGAACAAGTTCACTTATATCAGTTTGTTAATGAACAAGTAATAAAAATTATTTTTCTTTTACTGTCTGAGTGTCTTCATGCTATTAATGGTATGTGCTTATAATTTAATTTGACTATTCATTTCTGAAGGAAAGTTTGGTAAAACTGTAACAGCCACAGTTATGCATTTGCTGAAATGAGGAACAGTCTTCTTTAGTGATGACAGTTTGTATATTAGACTTGCAAAAACAATTTCTCCAAAACCTTGATTAAATGCAAACCCAACATAGAGTGTCAGTATAGGTAGTCATCGTCTTATTTGAGACTCAGGTTTCTTTAACTCCCTGACCTGGGTATCGGTGTGTCCACGAGACAGTGACAGTGAACTGCTTGTACAGTTGTGGCCCGTTGGGCTCTGCCTCCAGACCCCACATTCACCCTTGGAGAATGTTCTAGTCTGTCAACATTAGGGTGAAAATCACTGCTTGGTTTGACAGCGTGACTGTTTCAGTTTCATAGGGAAAATTTTTTTTCAGAACTTTGGTTCTAAAAATATATATTTTCTTTTTAGGCACCATCATGTCTGATTATTCAGATGCCTCGATTTGGAAAAGACTTTAAACTATTTAAAAAAATTTTTCCTTCTCTGGAATTAAATATAACAGATTTACTTGAGGACAGTAAGTATAAGATATTTTAGTTTCTTTTTCAGAAATTGTCAGTCATTATCATTCATATGAATAAAAGATTATAACTGGATACAGTTCTGCTAAAAGGCAGCTCAGTATCTGAAGAGGCTGGCAATATTAGACCAGTAATTTTGCTTCAAGGAGCCCTGGTGGCACAATGGTTAAGCACTGGGCTGCTAACTGAGAGGTTAGTGGTTCGAACTCACCAGCCTCTCCATGGAAGAAAAGACCTGGCAATCAGCTCCTGTAAAGCTTACAGCCTAGGAAAGCCTATTGGGCAGTTCTACTCTGTTATATAGGGCCACTGTGAGTCAGAATTGACTTGATGGCACCCAACAACAATTTTACTTCTGGGAATTTACTCGGAGAAAATAATCAGATGCCAATGAATATTTTATATGCAGATAGGATTATTGTCACATGATGAATGCATTAGAAGCAACCTAATGTTAGTAAGAGGTGAGGAGTTAAATGAATTATATTTGTACATTGAAACTACAGCCATTAAAATTCATGTTTTTGAAGACCAGTGTCTGTAAAAATGGTCATGATATGATGTTAAGTGAAAAGGTACATACACTGATACTTTCTACAATAGGATATAATTTATATCTATATATACACACACACACACACACATATACATATACACAGACATATATATACACACAGTTAATGTAGATACGAAGCTATAAAATTATTGAAGAAAATACACAACAGTATCGACAGTGGTTATCTCTTGCTAATTGAAATTGCAGATGCTTTTTGTTTTCTTCTTCGTATTTCCTTGTATCTTTGCATTTTTCATTAATGGGCATGCTTTACTTTTATAACCAGAAGGGAAAAAGCCCCAGACTTTGTTATTTAAAAAATTGTCATTTGTACCGAGAAAATATCAAGATATTCAAGATATCCTGAGTCCAAGGCTATCCAACTTAACATTTATAGGGACAGAAGAGAATGGGCTGTTGGAGTCCATGAACATTATGCGTTTTAAAGCATAACTTTTCTTTCTGATTTTTTAAAAGAAAGAATGTGTTTTTTAAAGGCGCCTTACCTCCCTTCTCTCTGCCGCCGTTTCAGCCCCCAGGCAGTGCCGGATATGTGGCGGACTTGCAATGTACGAATGCAGAGAGTGTTATGACGATCCTGACATCTCAGCCGGAAAGATCAAGCAGTTCTGTAAGACCTGCAACACCCAGGTAAGTGGGCCTTCTCTTAATGGATGCTCTCTGGTAGAGCAGTAAATTATTTATAGTTGGAAACAGACTTCGGGTTTTGAAAAATTTTTAAAATCATGATTAACTTTTAAAGCTTCATAATAAGATGCACTATTTATGCCTCTTCTGACTTTATTTGTTAGACTTCTGTGAAGCACTTGGCTGCTGTTTATAAGGGATGCATTAAGTAAGAGTAAGCAAAGTGCACAGACTTGTAACGTGGAGTTTAGCTCATCCGTGACATTCTCTTCATGGTCCATTTTAGATCCACCTTCATCCCAAGAGGTTGAATCATAAGTACAACCCCGTGTCACTTCCCAAGGATTTGCCTGACTGGGACTGGAGACACGGCTGCATACCCTGCCAGAAGATGGAGTTATTCGCTGTGCTCTGCATAGAGACCAGCCACTACGTTGCTTTTGTGAAGTATGGGAAGGACGACTCGGCCTGGCTCTTCTTTGACAGCATGGCTGATCGGGATGGTATTTTGAAAACCTTTCTTCTGCTTTGTGGCAGTGTTTGTAGTGGGAGAGTCCATGGTGGGATGGTCTCTTCTGAGCAGTGAAATATTTTGTGACGGAATCCTTTCAGGGATTTCTTGGTGAGACAGTCTTAGATCTCGAAGTACATCAACAGCCCTGCTACGCAAGTTGAGGCGTCTCTGGGCGACGCACACAGTTAATGTGCTCGGCTGCTAACCTAAAGGGTAGAATTTCGAGTCCACCCAGAGGCATCTCAGAAGAAAGGTCTGGCAGTCTACTTCCGAAAACTCAGCCATTGAGAACCCTGTGGAACATGGTGCTACTCCGACACACGTGGAGTTGCTAACTAAAACAAAACCCAAAACAAACCATTTTGCTGTTGAGTGGATTTCAACTCATGGTGGCCGCATGTGTGTCAAGAGTAGAACTGTGCTCTGTAGCATTTTCAATGGCTGATTCTTTAGAAGTAGATCACTAGGCTTTTCTTCTGAGGTGCCTCTGGTTGGACTCAAACCTCCAGCCTTTCCATTAGCAACCAAACATGTTAATTGCTTTTACCACTCAGGGACAAGTGGTAAACCTAATTAAGGAATAATATTATTGTGGTATTGTGATACGCATATATTCTATTGCTGAGGGATTTTATTTGCAGCTTTGTTATCTTTTACTTTTGGGCTCCTCTCCTTTTCCGTACAAGCCAGGGCTGCCATTTTATGGAGTGCCCATGTGCAGGCTCTCTGGGAAATGCAGTAAGTCATTATATCCAAATTCTTGAAATATTCTGCAAGATGGGAATCATTCCTATTTTTCTACTATTAAAGCTGAAGTTTCAGGTGCCTTGCTGACCTCAGAGCTTATGTGTTTCATACTAAACCATTGGGAGAGCTAAACCGGAAGGGCCTTTTCTGGAGTCCCTAAAACCACACTCCATAGCATATTCATTCATAGTCTTATGATACATAAATCAAACCTTGCTAAAGTTGAGCAAATACGTTTTTAAACTTCAGCGGAGGAATAATAGTGTTCGTTTTTACTAGACCTGCTTGAAATTGGACACCCCCATGGTGAAGTGTACCGGGGTGCTCTTGCCTGGGAGAGGATATGGAAATGTGAAGACCTGAGTGTTGTGAGCTTAGGCCTGTGCACTGTGACTCCCTGAGTGAGTGCTCGGAGAAGCCTGGGAAGTGGGCTTTGGCCTTTTCTCAGGGTGATGTCCTTTTACCGGTTTTATTCACTGTCAAGAGTTAAAAAGAGGCATTAACTTCCAGAAATCAGAAGCAAAATAAGGACTTTCAGATCTTGAAAATTCACCTTTACTAAATCATAAGCTTATAAAGTCACTTTGGTGGGTCAGGGCAGCAGATGGGGGTCGAGAACTTCACAGGCCTAAAAAGAGACCCTCCTTTTCTTCATAGGTGGTCAGAATGGCTTCAACATTCCGCAGGTCACCCCATGCCCTGAAGTAGGCGAGTACTTGAAAATGTCTCTGGAAGAGCTGCATTCCTTAGATTCCAGAAGGATCCAAGGATGCGCGCGAAGACTTCTCTGCGATGCGTACATGTGCATGTACCAGAGTCCAACCATGAGTTTGTACAAGTAAACAGGTCACCCGGAGAGGCGGCGAGACGGAATGCAGGATTCCAACGTTGCATTTGACTCAAGCTGGCAGTTTTGTTCAACGTCCATTGCCGGCAATGGATGTCTTTGTGGTGAGAATCCCTCCGAAAAGGATTCCTGTGTTTAAAAATAAATTGCTTTTGTGTTACTGGAGTATTTAATAAGAAGCATTTTGCACTCTAGAAAGTATGTTTGTGTTGGTTTTTTAAGAAGTCTAAATGAAGTTATGAATACCTGAAGCTTTAAGTTAAGTGCATTGATCATATGATATTTTTGGAAGCATAAAATTTTAATTGTGACAGTTCCAAACCTCTTTTAGTCCACTGAGAATGTAAATAAATGTGTCTTCTTTCTGGACCAAGGATGTGAAATCATTTTTCCTTTGCAGCTAATGGTGGCCTTGAGGAAGGAGCCGTTTGTGTGATTAAGAGCCTGTTGCCTGTCCAGTTTTTAAAGCTGTGCTGAGTTTGACTCGTTAGCTCTATCCTACCCAGCGCCGATTCCTGCATGTCTGCAATCTGCTGAGTTTCTGTGTTTCTGCAATAGTGGTCAGAAAAAGATTTAAAACCCCTTAATGGTGTGTTGTTTTCCACTTGTTCTGGTTTTGAGATAAATGAGTGATTCTGTTACAAAATGTCCTTTTTTTATGTAATTTTCCTGGAGGATTAGGATAGTCAGCAATTGAAACTCTTCATTCGTAGTCGTAACTGTCAGCCAACAGGTTTTTTTCAAGGCTCTCCAGCTGTTTTGTGGGACCGGACGCAACAAATTGTATACGAGGGTGGGCATAGTAAGTGTAATCCTATATTCTTACACAAATATATGCTCCAGAAGACAATACATTTGGCATATGGAAGTACTCCTTGAAATGCCCCTGAAAAGATGTGTTGGATATCTGAACCTCTTCAATAAGTCTGTGCAGAACTTCAGTGCGATCAGTCAGCCAGTCCCCTGACTCAGTTCAGTTGAGTTTCACTGGAGATAGTGACAGTTACGAATCGTATTTTGCTGAAATGTTGTCAGCAGCCGCATCCTCCTCCGGATTAAATAAGTAGATAAATGGGTGTTTTCTTGGCTGATATCCCTAGAGTGTGTACAGACCACAGTGGGTGTTGTAGACTAGATCCCTGGATTATAGATGTCTGTGCTGTGGAGTGTCTGTTCTATGGGTGTTGTTTTGTAGTATTGTTGTCTTCCTAGAGTGAATTCCTAACCATGCAGAAAGACAGAAAGTTGTCATATGTACCTAGCATATGACTTTATAAAATACTCAATGTCAAAAAAAAGAAAAATAGAATCTTTACGAACCCTGCAATTACTGTCTTTTCAAGGCCCCTTTTTTGGTTTCATCATTCCATTTTGCTGATATTTATTAGCTTTGTAAAGAGTAAGAAGGTACAAAAAATTCTTTCATCTTGTAATTTTTTTCATTTTTCAAAAGGAAAAGGGACATAAGTTTTGCACGGGGTTTTGTACTGCAGAGGCCTTGGAATGGCGCGGTGAGATGATACCAACCAGCTCGGGCTGCGGGCGCGGGGAGCAGCCCTGGGCTGCAGGGCGGGCCCTGCCTCCATCAGCCCTGAGTAAAACGAGGGCCTGGGATCCAGGATGTCTAAGGCCGCTTCTAGTTCTGTCCATCTGGAATCCAGCCATCACTTAATAAACGTGTGTTGATTAAATCCATGGATGAACGAGCTTATCAATAAGATTTTAAAAGTTCATCTGGAGGCATGATTAGAAACCTACATATAGGTAAAAATGGATCTAACTACTTAAAAAAAAAGAAGAGAATACAGTTCCTTTTGTGTAAACATTTAAACGAAATCAAAGCTGAGGAAATCTGTCGTTGCAGCCTTTCCATAGCAGATTTAAATAAAGAGGGGTTTGATACACGCGTAGTCGCGCGCAGCGTGTGGAAGTACCTTCGCGTCTGAGGACCCTCAGCCGTAAATTATTTCTCACATTTTCTTAGATGGAGCTTTATGTCCTTTTAGCATTACTGGGGGAGGGAACACTTGGTAAAGGGTGCCCAGGGCCATCTCCAGTGGTCCCAGCGAAGGCGGGGAGTCTTCCCTTGCTTCTGAACACCATGAAGCCAGCCCGGAAGGCTGCTCCCCCCGCCGCCCCCATTCTGGTCCCCTCCTTGTTCCGTGTTCCCTGTTCCTTGTTCCAGAAGAGCCTGGCTTGTCAACGAGGCGTGATCAGACCTGGGCTGCGTGGTGGGGGTGGCCGATGTTCCTGCTTATTTATTATTTAACTTAAAATTTTAAAAAATATTTTCCTGTTTGCTTTTTAAGTGTTTTGGTTATCCTTTTTATTTTGCCTCTTATCATATGTACCATCAAGATGACAGTATAATAGAAACATAACATGGCCCATGATTCATAGCTACAAATAGAAAAAATAACATTTTCCCCTAACCTTCAAATAAATACACGTGTGCGTGTGTGCGCGCGTGCGGCTGTGTATGTATCTATATATGTGGGAGAGAGAGGGAAAGAGAGAAAGAAAAAAGAGCAAATGTGGCCAGTCCCTCACTGCCAGCTTTATGAAGGAGTTTGACTCCATCCACAAAAGAATGTTTTGTAAAAGACTTTGGAAAATCAAAAGAAAGGGTAACAAAAATCAGTATAATCTAGTTGTTACAGTTGCTAAGAATCATTTCCTTAGAATAATTTAGGCTTTTTATAATTTATATTTGCCAAATGTGATCGGTAAATGGTCAGGTTCCTCAAACCCCTTGGATTCATTTATTTTTTTCAGATAATTCAGGATCAAGGGGAAGACATAGTAATTAATCTTAATGGAACTTGTACTGTCACTGAAATACCTGGCTGCTTGAACATGGCCTCTTCATAAATTCAGGAGTCATCACTCTCCTTGGCTGGCTCTCGAGAACCAGCTGGATAAGTTTGCTTATCTACTTGGATGATCGCAGCAGAGATGTGAGTGTAGTATCAGGCCTTGGCTTAGCGATTGGCCGCCAACCGTGTTCATTGACCTTGCGTCAGGGGCCTAGGATTATGTCAGAAGGAATGAGAGACACCGTCTCTGCCCCCAAACAGTTTACCACCCAATTTTAACAACAGAATAGCTGTCGTTTCATATGATTTTCTGTTAATGATTGCTCAGCTTAAGTGTATGGGTGACGTGTTGGCGAAGGCTCTAGGAGGCAGTGTGCTGGAACAGAAAAAGCAGGGGAGGCCTGGGTTCTAGCCCTTTCTCTATTGTTGGCTCTGAGCCTCACACAAATATCTTAACTTCTTTGGCCCTTAGTTTCCTCCTTTGTGTGATGAGAGGGTTGGGCTATTGAATTTTTTACGGGGAAAAAAATTTCTGGATCCCAAGCCATGCCTGCTAGATCTGACTCTTCCTGAGTGGGACCTAGGAAATTTGTTAGTGAAAAGCTCCATTTTTACCAACCAGCCAGGTTACAGCCAGGTTTAAAAACCACCAGACTAGAAGATCTCACGGATCCCTTCTCATTCTGTCATTATGTGAACATGTAAGGTTATTGTATTAATTATGTCACTTAAATGTGGGTAATTGGACACTTACCAGATTGCTTACGAATGAATTTGTATAAGAAATGCATTTCAGTATATGTATCTCAAACTGCTCTTTCTTAGAGGTTTTAGCAGTCTTTGGAAAACAAATCATTAAGAGGATATTTGTTGTTACTTATCTGGACGGTTGCCCTCCATTTTATTTCTATAGGGGAAATTGAGCCTCTGGGAACCAAGGAAACAGAAATACAAAATCGTCATGTAAAGCTAAAGAAAAAAACACATTATTTCTTACTATCTGGTACTTTCCGATGAAAATTAAAAAATTGTATGAGAAGCTCCTTCTCTTGGTATAATAGCTCCTCTTGTCGTAAAGTCAGATGTCTGTGTTAAAGTAGGTGGACCAGAAGGCTGCTACTTAAAAATAAGACCACCTTCTCTAGGGATCGGCAGTGTTAACAACACACCCACAATTCTCAGTCAATGAACATAATACATAAATTCCCAAAGGCAAGTGGGAGGTGGTAGCACAGAAAGAGATGTTAAAGTGCAGAACGGGGTGGCGGAAGAAAGAAGGTGAACCCCTAAAGCAGGTGTGTGTGGGTCCATGGGAAAGCAGGTTTCTATGGTTAGGAAGGGATTGTGCCATTTGTCAGAGATGAGGAGTTTAGAGAGTGAGGCTTCCTGCAGGGAGTTAGCTTTGTTCTTGTCTGTTCTCCCTTCAGATGTTTTACTCGGGGAGACAGAGGGAGAGACTGACTTCTCATCTTATTCTAAGTCTTGGAGAAGCTGAAGGGTTTTTCTTGAGTCAGAAAGCAGTGGTAAAATATTAGTTAGCCACAGTGGCCAAGGATAGTAAAAACCCGGGGGAGAAAGTCTGCCCCCCTCTCCTGGACCTAGTCAGTATAGCACTGGTAGGTTACTCAGCAAAGCCCATTGGATTTCGGGGCGCGCTCTCCTGGCAGCGATGACATGTTTGTGTCCCCACGTTTGGAATTCTTTATTTCACCCGAGAGCTTGAATATTGTCGGGGGAAGGGCAGTGAGGAAGGAGTTATCCTTCCAAACACCACAGATTCAGATATAATTTTCTTACACTTTTCAACACTGTACACTTTTGCTTTTTATTTTTATTTTTAAAGGGATTATGATGGAGACTCAACTCTCGTTGGTTTTATTTTATAAAATGGCCTAGTACTGTGGAATTTTAACTCCAGAAAGTCTTAGCATCATGTCATAAACATTCATTTTTTTTTCACAATTCCATTTGAAACTTGCGAGGGAAGTTGCAGTCATTAGTAGGCTGATGTGAAGGAGCACATTCTGTACTGCACAACCCATTTCTGGTGTCCTGTTCAGCATTTTTTTTTTTTCCTGAATAACATCCTATATTTATGAAAACTTTCTTTACACCACATAAAATATCCCTTTACTATCAGATTGCTCTGATTTAGCCTTAATTTTGTTAAATTTTTTAGAGATGACTGAAGTGTGCTGCTGTGGAAAGAAATGTATTATATACTATTTCTGTATCATTAAAATCAAATTTTTATGGTTCCTTTCCCTTGATTTCTTTTGGGGAGGGGTCTTGGGTTGTTATGGGAGAACTGGAATTGGCCTTGACAACTTGGGAAGCGGTTACTCTGGTGCCAGGAGAGAAGGTTCCTTTGGGAGAATGATGTACACAGGCAGACTTCTGTTTCCTTGTCAAACGTAAGCCATTGTTACGATCGTTTTGGGAATGACCTCACGCTTACCCCGTTCTGGGGTCTGTAGCAGAGCTGCGGGTCACCTCCTGCCATCGCGCTTCTGTATGGTTTCGTGAGCCAGCTTGGCCTCTGCGTGCTCTGGTGGTAGCTAACGCTCAGCTCCACCAGTCTCGAAACCACTCCAGCCGGAAGTGGTTCCACCTGTGCTTCATCTCGGCAAACAAGGGCACAAAGCTATTTACCATAGTGTGTCCCGCCCTCTCCCACCACCAAAAAAAACCAAAACCGAAAACCAAACCCGTTCCCGTGGAGTTGATGCTGACTCATAGTGACCCTGTAGGACAGAGTAGAACTTTCCCATAGGGTTTCCAAGGAGCGCCTGGTGGATTCAAACCGCTGACCATTTGGTTAGCAGCCGACCGCTTAACCACTGTGCCACCAGGGCTCCACCACTGCCACAGGGGCAGTTAGTTGAATGCTTTACTTTTCTGTAGTTTCCAGAGGAATGGTTGTTGTTATTGTTAGTTGCTGTCAAGAAGGCTCCAACTCATGGCGACCCCATGTACAACAGAAATAGTACTGAGTTCCACACCGTCTTGACGATCGTTGGTGTGCCCCAGTCCATTGCTGTGGCCACTGTATATTTTGAGTTGTCTTCCAACCTAGGGGGCTCATCTTCTGGCACTATAGCAAGCAATATTCTGTTGTTTTTTTATGTTGATCCATAGGGTTTCCATTGGTTAATTTTCAGAAGTAGATTGCCAAGCGTTTCTTCCTAGTCTTAGTCTGGAAGCTCCATTGAAATCTGTCCACCTTGCTGGTATTTGAAGTATTGATGACATAACTTTCAGCATCATAGCAACATGTAAGCCACCACAGTACAACAGACTGACAGATGGTGGTGGAAGGAAGGATTACATGATACTATATGGAACCCGAACTTTTACTTTTGTCTTTTTTCAGAGAGCAGATATAACAAGTCTACCTTAGGAGTTACCTGGAGTTTAAGTCACTTATTATTATGCCAAAGTAGGAAAGCTAGGATGGTCTGAGTTGGTATATTGGTGTTAATAGTACAATCCAGAACTTCCCTGTTTTGAAAACCCACAGCTAAGTGAATACACCGGTGAGATGTAAACTCTGCCATTTTAACAACACTTTGATTTCTTTTCCATTGGAAGATAGCTAACTGGCCAACCCACTGGAAGAGATCCATATTTACACCTATTATAAATAAAGGTGATTCAACTGAATGAGGAAATTATTGAACAATATCATTACTATCACAGGCAAGTAAAATTTTGCTGAAGATGATTCAAAAGCAGCTGCAGCAGTATATCAACAGGGAACTGCCAGAAATTCAACCTGGATTCAGAAGAGGACATGGAACCAGGGATATCATTGCTGATGTCATATGGATCCTGGCTGAAAGCAGAGAATACCAGAAAGATGTTTACCTGTGTTTTATTGACTGTGCAAAGGCATTTGACTGTGTAGATCATAACAAATTGTGGGTAACATTGCGAAGAATGGGAATTCCAGAACACTTAACTGTGCTCATGAGGAACCTGTGCACAGACCAAGAGGCAGTCGTTGGAACAGAACAAGGGAATACTGCGTGGTTTAAAGTCAGGAAAGGTATGTGTCAGCGTTCTATCCTCTCACTGTACCTACTCAATCTGTATGATGAGCAAATAATCCGAGAAGCTGGACTATGTGAAGAAGAATGTGGCATCAGGATTGACGAAGACTCACTAACAACCTTGCTTGCAGAAAGTAAAGAAGACTTGAATAACTCATCATGAAGATCAAAGACCACAGCCTTCAGTATGGATTGCACCTCAACATAAAGAAAACAAAAATCCTCACAACTGGGCCAATAAGCAACATCATGATAAATGGAGAAAAGATTGAAGTTGTCAAGGATTTCATTTTACTTGGATCCACAAACAATGCCCATGGAAGCAAGAGTCAAGAAATCAAATGACCCATTCATTGCATTGGGCAAATTCTGCTGCAAAAGATCTTTTAAAGTGTTAAAAAGAAAAGACGTCACCTTGAAGACTAAGGTGTGCCTGACCCAAGCCATGGTGTTTTCAATCGCCTCATATGCATGCAAAAGCTGGACAATCGATAAGGAAGACCCATGAATTGATACCTTTGAATTATAATGTTGGTGAAGAATACTGAATATACCATGGACTGCCAGAAGAATGAACAAATCTGTCTTGGAAGAAGTACAGTCAGAAGCAAGGGTGGTGAGACTTTGTCTGACATACTTTGGACATGGTATTAGGAGGGACCAGTCACTGGAAAAGGACATCATGCTTGGTAAAGTAGAGGGTCAACAGAAAAGAGGAAGACCCTCAACGAGATGGATTGACACAGTGGCTACAACAGTGGGCTCAAACATAGCAAAGATTGTGAGAATGGTGTAGGACCTGGCAGTGTTTGGTTCTGTTGTACATAGGGTTGCTATGAGTCAGAACCAACTCGACAGCACCTAACAACAACAACAACAATTCTAGTGCAGGTCCCTGGGTGGTGTGAACAGTCTGCACCCGACTGCTAACATAAGGCTGTCAGTTCAACCTTTTCAGTGGTACCAGGGAAGAAAAGACTTGGCAATCTGCTTCCATTAAAATTACAGCTAAGAAAACCCTGTGAAGCAGTTCTACTATGCAACGCATAGGATTGCCATGAGTTGGAAACAACACCAACTACCAACAACAACAACAATCCTAATATGCGACTCTTACCAATTCCGCCTTCAGTGATGTCAAGGTGGCAGCTTGCCATTGGCTATGGCGGGAGTATTTACACCGCAGAAATCGGCAAACTCTGTAAATCAAGACCCCCCTCCCCCGCTACACACACACACACACACACACAGCTGATTGTTAAAGCATCTACCAGCACAACACTGGCTACTGTGTTCTGTGAAGGCCTCTTTGAGGTGACCTTTGAACAGAAACCTGAAACTGCCCCTTATTCTTTCTGTCCCCCAGCTGCCCACCCCACCCACAATGTATGACCTATAGACACGGTTTAGAATATATATGAACAAAGTGGTCTGAAGTTTGCCAAGAGGCCAGAAACAGTAAGACACACATTTGTTTAAAATATATCTATCCCAATATCATAATGCCACCATACCACACCCTGAGCAGCTGTGTCTCTGTAGCATGTAGAATGCACAGCTAAGAAGCCACACACCGTGGCCCTGAAACTTAACTTCCTTTATTCCACAGGCTGGTGACACTCTGCCTGCTACCAAATAGAACCTCCAAAGTTAGACCTCAGAGGTCACACTGACAGTCTTCCGAAGTGTGGGAGTCGGGAGGGAGGCAGGAGAGAGGGCAGGGCCTCATGAAGACATCCATGGCTAAGTCGTCTTCCTCCCCAACTCTCCAAACCCGAGGGCAACCTCAAACCACTCACTTTGTTTTTTGTTATATGTGAGGTGATGACTTGATGCGTGAAATTGAAGAGCTTTCATAAACTTCTAGAACAATGGTAAGGTTGAAATAATGGACACAACTTGCCAATTTCAGTGACACTTTCGTGATGAGGGTCCCTGCCGGGGGGAATTACCCTACTTTATGGTATGAAGACCGTCCAGTTCATCCGTCTTCACTTGCTAATTCATGCTAATGGACAGCCCTCAGCACTTCCTCCGAAGTACAATTCAGCACTACGATATAATCTACCTAAGGTCACAGCCCCACACACCTGTCTGTCTGTCCGTAATTCAGTGAGGGTGGGGGATTGAAAGGCTGACATAAAGCCGAGCCCCTCCCCTAGGGACTCTCCCTTCTCACCTAATCAACCTGGAGTTTGTTTATGGCATTCAAGTTCATGAAATCAGAAGTTTCCACAGGCTTTAAAATATCTCCTGAGCAAAGAGAATAGCATCCTCATCCTGCCCCTTTTAGGGTGTCTCTATTCAAGTCTCCTTCAGAAATAGTGAAATTAATTCCATTTCAAAATCCTTTCTCATGCCTCCAGAACAGGTTCAGCGTATATTTCCAAGGCTCTTTCTAAAGAGGCCAGGCCAATACCTTTACAACAGATTTGCTGCTTTCCCTTTGGAGTGTGTCCAAGCCCACAATCCTATATCTTTTCCTAGAGCAGAAAGTTCCACCAGAAAGTGACACATAGGCTATGTCTCCCTTGGAAAATTCCATTCCTCCCAACAAAGTGGTTCTCAACCTTGGTTGCATTTGAGAATACCCCACAGAACTTTGCTGCCACCCATCTGCCAGTTTCTCCTACTGTGGTGGCTTGCGCGTTGCTATGACATTGGAAGCTATACCACCGGTATTTCAAATACCAGCTGTGTTGCCCATGGTGGACAGGTTGCAGCAGAGCTTCCAGACTAAGACAGACTAGGAAGAAAGGGGGTGATCTACTTCCAAAAATGAGTCAATGAAAACCTTATGGATCACAACAGAACACCATTCAACTCACTTGCTTTGGACACGTCACCAGGAGGGATCAATTACTGGAGAAAGACATCATGTCTGGTGAAGCAGAGGGTCAATGAGAATGAGAGAGACCCTAGGTGAGATGAATTAGCACAATAACCACAATGATGGACTTCAACACGCTGGTGATTTTGAGGATGACGCAGGACTGGGCAGCCTTTCATGCTGTTGTACGTAAGTCCACCATGAGTCAGAGTTGACTTGATGGCAGGTAACACCGACCACAAAGAGCTTTGAAAAATACCAATCACCTGGCCCTGTCTTCAGAGATTCCAACTGGTCTGGGATGGGCACAGGCATTAGCATGATTTTAAAGTCTCTATATGTGAATTCACTGTGAAGCCAGGATTGAGAACCACTGTGTTGGGCAGTAAACGCCCCTTCTTCAGGCTTTACCAGGGGAATGTGTCAGCAAGAGAGCAGCAAGCCAGGCCCCAGGAAAAGAGGCATTGAGCAGGGCCCGAGGTTCCTCTTTCAGCCAGGTCTACTCTGACAAGGACTCCAGGCCTTCAGGTGGGCACAAGTATATACACCCTCACTGTCACACTAAGAGGCCCAAAAAAGAGTTGGAAAGAATGGGATCTCTGAAAAAGCCTGCAGAGCCTTGAATCTGACCATGAGGAAATCAGCTGTTGTTTTACCCCTAGAATCCTTCAAAACTGCAACTCAAGGCTTGAATTTTTTCTTCAGTTCTTTCAGCTTGAGAAATACCGAGCGTGTTCTTCCCTTTTGGTTTTCTAGCTCCAGATCTTGGCACATTT